CTGTCCCCCCCCCCCCCCCAATTTCATTTCCAGCCCTCGCAAAGGGCTGCGCTGCAGGAAAAGGCTTTAAAAGTGATTATTAATGTCTTTGTAAATCACCTCGTGCTGGGGAGTTTGGGGGCTGCGTGGGAACGGGGTGCGAGATCCTTCGGAGATGGGTTGTTGAAGGCAAAATCAAGGTCACGGCTGCAAAGCTCAGCCTGATTTTGGAGGATTTTATTTTTTTGGAGGGTAGCCCCAGCCTTGAGAATCCATCCCCCGGGGCTGATGCTGGGCTGGGACGGGAGATGGTGCTGTTCGCTCGGTGATGCAGCTCCTCTAATCACACCCCACACCCCCCCGCATCGTTCACATGGATAAAATCACCCCCGGATGAGGTTTGGGCACTTGTTTTGCATTTTAAGCCTGCAAAAGGAGACAATCCCCCCTCCAGCTCTCTGCAAACTGTCCAGCCGTGCACCAAAAATCCTCTTTTTGCAGGTAGTTTTCCGGGCGAAAAATATCTTCAGTTATTCTGCCTCTGTCGGGGATGCTTATTTATGGACAAGGGGGATGCAAAATGCCCCAGGACGGGTGATTTGAAGAAAAGCATAAAAAAAACCAACCCCAAAATGGTAACATTTATTCTTTGGGGTGTATTTCTCATCAGCTTGGCAAATCAGAAATGCTTCCCGTCCTCGCTTGGCAACAAGGGCCCTGCCCACCTGGCAGGATTTGGAGTATTTAGGTGATTAATACAGAGCAATAAATTTATTGAATTCATCAGACCACTCCTAGGGGCTGAGAAGGCTCCAGGGTTATTGGACCCGTGGCCTTAATGGACACGAGGGCTCAGACCATGTCCCCATGTCCTCTCGAGTGCTCCCAGAGCCAGGAAAGCTCTGACATTCCTCAGGAACCCCCAGCAGTGAGCTCCAAAAATCACAATAAATCCCAATTACCCACCAGAACCCCAAACTGGTGAAAAAAAATAAAAGGATGCTGTGTGCAGAGGGGATGAAAACGGGTGTTTCTGAGCATGGCTGACATGGTTCTTTCCCTTGCTTGGTGGTGTGGGAGCAGCTTCCCCTGTGCTGGGTGAAGATCAGAGAAGATGGGGGTTTTTTGGGCTAAAAATTAGCCTTTTGTGTTGCTGCCTGCTGAGGTCAGGCCCTCCCCGGGGGAATTTGCTGTGCTGGTGCTGCCAGCCCCTTCCTGGCAGTACCCATGTGCTCGCCTGGGAAAAGAGCGGGGAATTCTTCCTTCTTTGGGGGTTGTTTTTCTTCCTTTTTTTTTTTTTTTTGAGGAGAGGGGGGGAATTTTCCTTCTTTAGAGGTGGGGTTTTTTTCCCTTCTTTGTTTCATTGGTGGTTTTTTTCCACCTTCTTTGTTAGTTATTTTTTCTCTTTTTGCTTTTTTTTTTTTTTCCTCTTCCCTTCTTCGCTTTCATTGTTGGTTTTTTTCCCTTCTTTGTTGGGGGGTTTCCTTCTTTTGGGTTTTTTTCCTTCCCACCACTGGGAAGGTGGGAAGCACAAGGTCTATTGGGAGACGGGTCCTCCAACCCTGTCACTGAAGGACATGTTGTCATTGCTACCTCTTTCTCTTTTATTTGAAGTTTGAAATAGCTCTTGTTTTACCTCGAAAAATCTTAATTAATAAGAAAAGTTGAATAAACCTCCCTGCCCTCATCAGCAGGGTCCCCCCTGTAGCTTGGGGACCAGTGAAGCAATTTTCCCTGCGGAGGAGCAGGGGGGTCTTGCATTTATTGCCTCTGTTGTCATTGCTACCTCTTTCTCTTTTATTTGAAGTTTGAAATAGCTCTTGTTTTACCTCGAAAAATCTTAATTAATAAGAAAAGTTGAATAAACCTCCCTGCCCTCATCAGCAGGGTCCCCCCTGTAGCTTGGGGACCAGTGAAGTGATTTTCCCTGTGGAGGAGCAGGGAATCTTGAATTTATTGCCTTGTCTTTAAATGATATGGGAAAAAGTCTGGGATATTCAGATCTGAGTATTTAGGGCAAAATAAAACCCTAAATAAAGTTTCCAGAGCTGGGGAGTTTTTGGGATGCTGTGGAGCGGCCATAAGGATGCTTAGGACAGACCCAATAACCTTCCGGGGGCTTTATATTCCCCAAATCCTCCTTTCCACCACCATTTTTTAAATTGCTTTTGCACATGGAAGGTGTGAAGTGTGGGACTGTGAGATTTTATTTTTATTTTTATTTTCATTTTCCTCATTTTGGTAGCTGGCTCCCAATATTAAGCCCTGTCTGCCCTCTCTTTGCTCTCACTCCCTGTTTGCTGCTCCACTTACCAATATTCAGAGCTAAAGTGGTGATGTCCAGTAGCCAATTTCAAGTAAAAAAAGCTTTTATTTTGTGTTTTCTGAGCACCTACAGGTGTTATGGATCTCTTAGGGTTTCCTCTTTGGGAGCAAGCTGCCTGTGCGCAGGATTAATCATCTACTTAGTACTGAATAGGTTTTTTTCCTATTTTTTTTTCTGCCAAAATTGTTAAAAAGAATCACATTTGGGATTTACCTGAAGCACCACTTAAAGTCCAAATTCTTTAACATCCTCATGGGCAGGGGGGTTTCCAGTGCAATAAATCCAATCCTGTGGAGGCTCAGACCAAACTGGTCCAAGGCTTGATCTTGAGCTTAAAATTCAAGCAAAGAGTCCAAACTCCCCCATCTTTTGAATTGTCATTTTTAATCCTTTCTGCAGCCTAAATCATCTCATGGTGGTGCCAATTTAGGCACTGGGGAGATTGGGAATTCTGGCCACATTCAGCAGGGCTTGGGGCTTGGCGGGAAGTTGGTCGGGCTTAAAGCCACTGAAACAGCAAATGTAAAAACTCTTTTATTAGACAGAAAATAGATGGAGTAAATACAAGGTATAAAGGGGTGTCAACCTTCTACGGGGAGAAGAAATCCCTGATGCCAACCAGCCCATTGGAGTCATCACCAAATATCCCTTGGGTGGTCGTTAGTGGGAGCAGGGGAGGAGAAAAGGTTAACTGAAATTGTGGGTTTTAAGCCAAATTTAGCTCTGAAAAGGGGAACAAAGGCGCCCACAGGCTGAGGGGGCAGGGGCAGAGAGGGTGAAAAATGGAGCTTCTGTCCGCGGGGCTGCGGGGACCGGGGAGAGCTGTTTGGAGGAAGGAGGCTGATGTGCATCTTGGCTTTATCTGTTTTAATTTGTACCAGACGTCGAACACTTAGAAAAGTATCAGAACGGCAAATTCCGTGCATGCACCGTTAACGGATTTACAAAACATTCGCGTATCACAAAGTAGGGGTTACCTCAAAGCCCTGCTTTTCCGGTGAATATCCTGAAAGATTTATCTCTATTTTATTAATATATATATATATATATATATCTCTATCTTCACTTAGCTTACACCGATGCGAAAAAAATATTTAGGAGGGTGTCATTCAGTGCCTTGCAAAAAAAAAAAAATTTAAAAAAAATAAAAAAAAATACACGAGAGATATTAAATATAACTCGGGGCGACCGGTTCGACAAGTGCAACTTTACAGATGCTACAGGTTAGACGTGACCCAGCATCGACCCAAACACAAGAAGCATCAATTTCACCCGCTGTTTCCACAAATTAATTGCAAAAGGTGTTTGTTTTGTTTTGTTTTTTTTAAGCATCTCCCATCCCTCAGGCCTGGTTTTCCTGATGCTGTTTGCTGTAACCATCTGATTGAGCTGACTTAAGTCTCTTGCTACATGCTTGACCCCCCCTGAGCATCCTTTCTGCTGTATTTTTAACGTCCTTTAGGCCAAGGTGCTGAAGCGAGTGTGAGTTGTCACCTACAGAACCTCCAAACCAGCTTTTTCTCAGGCTGTGACACACCAAGTGTTACCGCTCTGGGGGTTTTGGGGGCATTCAGCAGCACTTTTTGCCTTTAGAAAGGCTAAAAAAGAGGCTCAACCTAAAGCAAAGCGGCGCAGGGGGTCAAGCGAAACCCGGCCGGGGTTTCAGCAAAAAAAAAAGAAAAATCACTTTATTTTTGTGTATTGCTGCAGGAGATATTTGCAGCATGCGAGGCGCGGAGCGGGCAGGTCCGTATGTACACGAGGAAGGGCGAGTTTTAGGATTAAAGGGTTAAAATTGCAACCCAGTAGCTTGTTGCTTGAAAACCCCATATCTGACCCTCCTAAAACCCCTATGGGGTATGTGGGTGGGGTATATATACCCCCGTGGGGTGTGTATATAGATATATATGGGTGCTCGGATGCAACGCTGTACTGTGCCCTGGGGGAAGGGGTTGTGGTGGAAGCGGGATTAAGGGAATTAGGTAAAACCCTGCTTTTTAGCAAAGATGACTCTCAGAAACGCTCTTGCAGGGATGCCAAGGACCAGGTGAACTTCTCTCTGCCTGATCCCTCTCGGGCAGGTCCCGAGGAGGAGGAGGTGGTGATGAAGGCCATTTCTTTTGGGCATCCAGCTCCATCGCTGTCCTGTCACGCCGGGGGCGCCTTTTGGGGTGGAGAAGGAAATTTTCATCCAGTTGCCTAAACCAAAGCCTCCGGGGGAGGTGGTGGGGAGCGTCGGTGCCCGCGCGCCCCAAGGGCTCTTCACCAAAGACGACCGCAAGCAAGAACGGGGAGGTTTGGGGAGGTCCCCCCACGGGGACATGGGTGACATCTCGAAGCTGTGGGGGCGCATCAGTGCATGATGAAGAGGGTGAGGAGGAGGAGGGCGGCGAGGGAGGCGTCGGCGAGGTGCAGCCGGATGCCCGAGGCCAGGCGGTACTCGCGGTACTGCTGGATGCACATCTCCCGGATCACCTTGGTCACCACCTTGGTCTCCAGCTCCGTCTCCGTTTGGTTGACGGCCGAACCAGCCTCCGACACGTTCTTCTTGGCGGCGGGGCCGATGTTGTGCTCGGTCACCGTGATGTTAAAGCAGTCGGCCACGAAGACGTCCTGCGAGACGGGGCTGCTGTAGTCCCGGTAGTAGACCTGGTTGGGGTAACGCGCCGAATTTTCGTTCCACCACCGGTACTCGTCGGGGCTGTCGAAGCGATAGTGCATCCCCGACATGACGCGCCCCATGGCGTAGCCCCCCAAACCTCCCACCACGGCGCCCGCCGCCGCCGCCCCCGCCACGTGCTTGAAGTTGGTCTTGGATTTGGGGGGTTTCCATGGTTTTTGGTTGTGGTAGCTCCCGCCTGCTGGGTTGTAACCCTGTCCCCACCCGGGGTTGTGGGGGTAGCCGGGGTTGTGGGGGTACCCCGGGTTGTGGGGGTAGCTGGGGTTGTGGGGGTAGCCCGGATTATGGGGATAGCTGGGATTTTGGGGGTAGCCGGGCTGGCGGGGGTAGCTGGGCTGGCGGTGGCTCCCAGTGCCCCAACCGCCTCCGCTGGGTTTGCCTTTGCTCTTCTTGGAGAGGGCGACGTCGGTCCAGGTGCCGAGGAGCAGGGCCACCAGGCAGCAGGTGAGGAGGAGCCTGGCCATGGCTGTGGGACACAAGGACAGGGAGCGTTACGGGCGGGAGACAGAGACCCTGCACCCTCACCCCCATGAGCTTTAGGCTCCCTTATTTATGTATCATATAAAACACATGTCAGTCCCTTTAATCCAGCTGCAGAATAAACATCTTTAGACTTAAATGCATATTTATCCCCCTCAAACCCTCTTATTTTCATATATATATAGATATTTTATATAAATTTATATTTTTATATATATCCCCCACCTCTCCAACAGACCCCCTGCTAGTAAGGGCAATTTTAAAATAGGAGATAAAGACCTTTTGGGAAAAAACA